AAAATACCTMATTTACAATACTATTGTTCACCCATAAATCTTTATCAAGTTAATATTATATTTGCAGTATATTTCAGTCCTCAAATGTAGAAATGCATATGAAAATGAGCAAGCGTAGTTAGATTGACAAAACAAAGTTTCATGCAATTATCATTTTCTTTTATAATGGATAGAGTGGGTTGCTGGAACTTGTAGAAGACTTGCGGTACATCATTGACGGGGTAATGCCTGGCGTCACTCTATTRGATTGATGGACTTGRTACCTGCGGCGGTGCTCTCTTCTTTGGTACCACATGAATGGACATACCATCAAGGTCATCTCATAYTTGTAATCAGTACTGCAGTTAGCAAGTAGCAACGGCAAAGAAGCACCAAAGCAGTAGGTTAATATCTCGGTTACGCCATCAGCGACCTCATGGATACTGCTGTGCTGGCTGTTGTCAAGGAGAAGAAAGATACATCTTGGGATCCAGAAGATTATAAAACTTAAGAGAACTTTAATGACCACTTGTGCCCATGCTGCCTCCTGGGATATGGTGGGTGYATCAMTGTAATCTAAGTTCTTCACTTTGCGGCCAGTGATGTCAACTGAACGGAAGTGGTTCATGCGTGCTTTGGTAATGCGGCAATGTAGGACTAGCATCAGAATCACTGGAATAAGAACTTCAATAGTAACAAARCAGTAKATRAAAGGACGGCTGTAGATACGACGAAGCTTGCAGTCCCACATTGGCTGTGAMATCTCTTTGCCTAACTCCGMAGGTGCAAAGGACAGAACACTAGCAAGAAGCCAGAGCAATGCAATCAACCCAAATGMTCTGCATGGAGTGATAACTTTAGTGTAAGTTCCTGATCTTGGAATTGAGAAGTACCGGTCAGCGCTCATCGCAGCCATGGAAAATACCGTTACGGTACAACAGAACACAAACATAGCGCTGTAAACTTCACAAAGGTGATTGCGCTCAATCCATGCTGGCTTATTCACGAAGCTTACGATTCGAACAGGCAGAACAGAAACAGCCATTAACAGATTTCCAAACGCGAGGCTCACAACATAGCAATGGGTGGTCAGGAACAATCTAGAAGTCTTGTTTCTCAAGACAGAAAGAAGGATAAGCAAACTTCCAAACACTGTGAAACACATCACGATTACAAACGCAACTGCAGTGATCAGGTCGCTTGTATTTGAGCTCAAATTGTTCAGGATAGAAGAGTTGTTAATCGTACCAGATGACGGAAGAATTCTTTGATCCATGATTACTAAGTCCAGATGTTTTGTCAGGCAGARAGCACGCACTAAAAGTCAACAAACTTCAATTTTGTCTGAGTGAACAAATCGAAACTTCAATGTTTGAAGAGCCTAATTACAGCTTCGTTGAAGTTAACTTCTCGAATCAGTTCCAGAAGCCTTGTTCGCGTTAYGATCAAACCTTCGAAAGAACGTTTGATCGCCGTTTCGATTGAAAAGTCAATCTAAACTTGCAGAAGTCCAACCACAAGCAATCACAKGTATCGCCTCGAAGTTTAAACAAATGTAGCGCTTAAAATTCCTTCAGAACCACGATCAGAGCTTCGAAAGAACACTTGATCGATCGTTTTACAGTTTGCAGTGAACGCTTGGCAAAGATTTCAAACAAAACGTAGGATTAACTCAAACATGCACAACGCTGCCAACAGAATACATAACTTATTCAGGCATTTCTATGTTGTCATATCAACCAATAGCAAACAAAAGATTGAATTTCCGGTAACGGTATGCGTGACGACAGGTAACACAGGAAGCCCACAAATATAAGTCTTTGAATTAAAAACGAGTGGATGGAAAAAGCGGAGATGACAGGAAGGAAAGAATGTAAAATTTCAAAAATAACGTAAGGACAGTTTGAAACGCATAATTAAGATGACGCAAAGGAAGCCCATACATTTACACGATCAAAACTGATCAAAACATCCTCCGCATCAAGCTTAAGGAAAAGCCAGAAAACATGGTTCCTGAGAACTGCTTTTTATTTYAAATGTTTATTTGCTTACTTATCTTTTGAGTAGCCACAGAAGCATCATTATTCAGCTTTTTAGTCCCTTTTCTAATTGTACGCGGGCTCCCTGTGTTTGAGAACACAGGAGGCCCAACATTTTGGAGAAAATCCCAAAATTCAGATTATTTTCAATCATACATTAACGTTAAAGTCTCCAGTTGTTTTAGTGGTAAATCCTCTAAACACCACATGACCCGTACGTTGAACGCGCTTAACTGAACCGTTCATTGACCGTGATCAATTATAGATGATTTTAAAACCGATGCACATCGCTTGGTAGGTCACCCAGTACTCCCTTTACAATGAAAAAYCAATGATTTTTTCCGCACGCTAAATTTTCGCAAGCTTTTTGAACTTCAWGGCTATGGGTGAAGACCTTCTTTCTTTCCATGTTGTTATTTGTATTCTCGTTTTACTGGTTGCCTCTTTAGAAACTTCATCTGCGAAGCCTTCACAAGGTAAGAGCTGACTTACTTCTCTTGCGTCAGTTTTAATGAAACATCTTCATTCAAAAGGGAATGTTTGTCATAGATAATTGCGGTTGACAAACTGTTAGCGTTTGTTAAGTATTGTCAGTGAATTTGTTCTAAGTAACTATGTGGTTCATGTGGTTGCCGTGAACAGCTTGTCGCTCTACTGCGTTCATGATCCGTGCATTTTACCATGACCGAAATACTGGTATTGCAGATAAGATGAGATGAGTAGAGTCTTTGTCACTAATGAAATTAAAAGTTAGAATGAATATTAAACTACATATTTTAATAATATATTGATGAAGCGTAGACTGGGGTCACATCATAGCAAACTTAGTTGTCTTTGAGGTTGAGAAATGGGGTTGTCTTTGAGGTTGAGAAATGGGGTTTATRCGTGAAAGTACGGGCATTTCTCATCTGATTTAATGCARTATAGTTATTCTTTTCTTGTCAGTTAAAGTATGCTGATTTCGAAAACTAATGTGGGTTGCGTTTTACGAAATGAAAAATATATATAAAAAAAAAACGGGATATGAAATTTGAGTACAACTGTGGCACTAATCAGTTTAATGTCATTCAGATTCTTCGAGACCACCATTGAACGCTTTCTTAATATCTCTTTATTTTCAGGTCTACGCCAAGAAAGTAACTTTTTAATACAAAGCGATTTTAAAGACCCATCCCTTTCGATCCCAGATAGTGCRGTATGGGATGCAACTGGGTCGGGATCTGGGAACGAAGATGGAGTCGAGGCTAAAACTGACAAAATCAGTGAAACCAGGGTTAAGAAACTGGGKTTAAAAGAAAATGAACCTGAAAATCAKCCAAATGCAGATCATCCTCAGATTGCGGCTGGAAAGACTGAAGTCGAGGTTGTTGAGGTTAAAGATGACAGCAATCAACCTGTAACCGAGGCTAAGGTGACGAACRCCGATCACGTGAGTGATGCTGTCACCGAAGTCTTTCAATCTCGAGAAGAGACAAAATCACCTCATACCGAGGCAAAACCAGTATCTGATATCGAGACTATTAGGACGCAAAGTACAGCTTCTCCGCCAACGACGTCAATGCCAAAATTTGAAACAACATCTCAAGAAATAAGATGGAAATTCAACAAGGCGCGAAATTCATTAAAGAAAGCAAAGCAATATGTGGAACTGGCAGAGCTTATAGCAAAGAAGAAACACAGGAAGACGACCAAGAACGAGCAAGATGTTAAAAACATTATTACGAAGACAGAGGTTGCACTAGTTCATGCGGGTGAGAAAATAGGGCTTGATTATGTACACTACAAGAGAAGTATTCCGGACGATGAAGATGACTACGAATGATTATCGATTGATAGGATAGAATGCTTTACGAGGAAGTATCGACTGCGCACAGAGCGATTCAACTAGGGTGTTTTCATCCAATGTCGCCATTTAAAGAACATTGTGGTCTTGGTAGTATGCGACGCCATAATACAAATCGCCTACTCGGAGTTAAGCAAGAAATTACATCCTCGCTCCACGATCGATAAAAGTCATAAAAGATATGTGGAGGAATTCCAGTTCATTTAATACGTCTAAAGCATCCGATAAGCCATGTGGGAAGGGTTCGCTATAACATACACAATACGCATGATCAAGTTTGACTATAATGTTTATTTTGTATTATAATATATTTTTCCACCCTCATCGGGCGTATATTAATATATTCCTATACTCCCATCATTCACTTCTCGATTATTTCACCAACTGAAACTTAAGGAAACTTAAGTAATAGTGCAACYCGTAAAAGCGAACACCTTATATTCAGAATATTGGCCGTTTAATACGAGGTGGTCGCTTTGAGAGGTCTGTCTGTTAATAAAATACAGGACTGATTGTATAAAGATGGACATAAGGTATTAAACCCGTGAAATAGTATCTATAAGTTTTGATTGAGGGGTCTAGGTGTAGTTACCATAAACCCATGAAATAGTATCTATTAATTTTGATTATAAAGTAGTTACCATAGTCCTGTGAAATGTATATAAGACTAATACACCTTAGTAGTCTCTAATTCCATTGTTTTCTTTTGTGTCTATTTGACTATTAAACCTTGACTGTTAGATTTTGTTTCACAGGTTTAATGTCTTCACTCTATTAGACTAATACACCTTAGTTTTCTCTAATTTTCAATTCTTTTCGTTTTATTTAACGATTACACCTCAACTATTAGACTTTGTTTCACGGGTTTAATGTCTTCACCCCTAACAATCAACCCTGTAATCCTGAAATCTTATTGACAACAAATTGTGCAAAATTTGCTTTAAGCATAAAGGTAAAACCCCACAATTCATACTTGAGGTAAATATCATTAGTTGACCTCAAATAAATTGTGATAATAAATTCACAATGGTGAATCCCAACATTTTAATGTGCTTGTTAACATTAACAAAAAATAAACTATGACTTTGAAATATATATACAACTGTATGCAAAGGAGACAGTACCTAGAACACAGATAGCCCAAGCTTATTACTATACTATTCATCAAATACATGGGACTCAATAGTTGAGTTTCGCGATCTCTTTTACGCTGTGTTAGCCTCAAGAAATGTAGAAAAACCTCGTGAAATTTCAAACTATTTCCATTGTCTTCTATAACTCACAGATCTCTGCATTTGCACGGGCTGTTTGTGAATAAAAGAATTTATTACATGGTTTTGAGGCCAACACAGCGTAAAAGAGATCGCTAAAAGGGTTTATTGACTTCTGAAGGTTTTATATCACCTATGAGACTTGCAATGCATTGTAGGAACAGCTTCTGGAAAAAAGAAAAATGAAATCTGACATGTTTGTTCCCAAAAATATCGCACAATGAATTGCGTATATGGTATAATRTGATGCCAGAGCTTAAGATGTCTATAATATAATATCATGACAATTTTTTTATCTYGAAGTAATTGCAATAAAATTAAAAGAAAGCTCCCCAAAGATCTCTTTACTGTTGATAAAATCGAGTGAGTTATTTGAATTGCCAAAAMAATGGTTCAAACATATCCAAGATAYCATGCAAAAAAGTCAMATAAGTCCTTATATTTATGATCGRCAAACCTAATAATAAGCTTGGGCTACCTGTCCCTAAAATAGGGCTGAGAAAGSAGGGGAATTAGGGAGAAGRAGAAAAAGTTAGTACAACTTCTTACCCATCCCCAACCCTTCATTTATGTCACTCTGTTACCAATGCTGTACATTAATGAAAATTCACACAATACAACTTTTGTCTACATTTATCACCTCCAACATGCCTATAAATCCATCATTGCAGCACACGTATCCATGATGATTTAAAATATTATTTGCTCCACAATTGTAAATATTGTAGCAATGTTGTAAAGGTTGATTTAGACGATGCAACTTTTGCTACAACTATCGCATGCAACATGTCTAACTTATCATTACAACATGCCTACAACTGTTGTAAAGTTATCAAACAACTGAATACAATTGGTTTTAATCTCAACGACAGTTGCAGTCACGTTGTAATCATATGATGATAACTTAGGCATGTTGCATGGGTTAGTTGTAGGCAAAAGTTGTCCGTTGCAAGCAATATTTATAGGCAAGATTTGTGCAGTGTAAATCAGCCGTCAAACTACTCCTTCTCAAACTAATAATCCAATTGTAAACATCACTAATACCAACGACCAGTTGGGGTCATTATTGATATATATTATTAAATAATTTTTGATATTATCGCCCTTATGTTGTCATTGTTTTACAATTGACATAATAATTATTATAGTAAATAAAATACATATTTTGTGAACAATGGGTACGAAGTGAAATTACCATAAATACTGATTTTCATGCCGATGTGACTTGTGGTTTAATATGACTTGACATGAAGACAAGACGGGATACTCCAGTTTTGAGATCTTATTTGTGCAGCCTTAACCTCGAAAGCATGTAATATATTCGATCTTATTCAGCAGAGATCCTATTGTTATACAAATACTCTGTGTACAAAGAAGGCAATACAAATTTATGCTTGATTGAAGATAAGCATGCACGAAAGAGAAATCGAAACTGGTGTATTTTACCATGTAGATAAATAGCTCTACAACTAGATACACAGAGCGTTTGACTTGTCATAAGCTTTTGAATTTAGGTTTTAAAAATCCTATGACAACTCAAGTCACATGTGACAAGACTTTAACATAATATGGAATTGCTGTTGCTTGCATTAATAAATTAAATGTYCAATAATTCATTCAAAAAAATGGAACATATGCATAAATAAATTAACTTTGGCTTGAATTCATTCTATAATAACACAGAATTTAAGAGGCTAGATCAGACTGCTTTGTACAAGGTTTGAATTTATCAAATCATCAAGTGGCTTGGAGAGATACATATTTTATCAAACACTGTATATTAAGTAAATGTACTTGATGTGGTTGATCTGGATTGAAGAGGATCTCTTTTGTCACTTGTCGAGTAAAGTTGTTTCTTTTATGAGTTTTTAACACYTTGAATTATTTATTATTTAACTCATGAACATTAACTACACAATTCTTATTAAAGAGTCTGCACGAAAAGCAATGCTATTTTACTACGTCAAGTATAACATGTTCAATTTTTGGATATTTTGGTTGAGTAAACATGTAGAGTGCACGTCACATAAGCATGAAACAATTCTTAACTATGTAGTGCTAAATAAGATTTAGTTATCAACTAACTAAGAATTGAGAACAATGCTACAAAGGAATTAAAATAATTGGCATTGTGTTTATGCTTTGTTGAATTCTTAGTTAGTTGATAACTAAATCTTATTTAGCAATGTGAAGTGCACTCTACAAAAGAATCGCAGATTAAGTTCTGGGGAAATAATTGGTAATCTTATTAATATCTTCTTTTATTTCCCCGGAGCCTCATCTACAATTCTTTTGTGCATGGTCACTAAACCAAAATATCTAAAGTCGGCTATTGCACATCATGAGTCTATGGAAATGAAACAGTCAAAAGCTCAGTTCAAACACTAAATTTGGCTATGTGGACAACCTACGTCAAGTAGCCATTAAAATTTCCTTTGTTCATAGATATACATGTATGGCCTTTAACGCTATAATGTCTGTTGACGACTAGCTAATTACTGTACAATGGAATAAAATAATTCCACCTTTWAAAACCAGTGCACATTCCCAAACACACGAACGTTAAACGAAGTGAATATGGAAACATATTGTAGCTCTCGTCAATTTCAAAATTCTCCTAAAAGAATAGATATTAACTCAAGAGAATTTGCATTTTGATCAGTTGTATTAATAGTGTCCAGTAAACCTCTGTCAAAGAAGATACAGGAATACCACAATAGCTTTATCTTTGTACACATTGAAAGTTGGTTTTTAGAAATTTAATTTATGCCTTGGCTTCATAAATAAAATGCTGCAGAAAAGCAAAAATTTCTGGAAACCATGATWATTGAAACCCATGACCAGCATGGAATAAAACTACAATATTCTTAGAGAAATGTAAAATTGTTGGAATTATAATTTGTCTAATTTGAATTCTGTCATCCCAAATACHATTCAGCAACAAATACCCATGAATTTGATCCAACACAAATCTACTGTTTTACCTACTTCAAAACATTAATCTGTCATTTGTGCTTTAATGCTTTAWTGCTGAAGAGCTGGCGCACCCCTATAACATAAGGACGAGCAGAAGCAAGATTCCACCTCAAAGAACACAGGGAACCCAAGCACTTTACTTATCTTCAAACATGGCTTCCAACACAGTGTCACTTGTTTTACGGCCATGACCGCTCCGTAACTGTGTCCAATGGTGATGAAGAGTACGATATACAAACTCATATTGTGAATCTGTTTCTACCATTCCACCCCTGAAAACATTACAAAAATACTAAGAAACCCAAATCAAGCAAGAAATGTTTGATAACAAATGCATTCAAACATTTCATAACTACATAAATGTAGCTACTAGGAAGATTCATAATAATTCAGAAAGTAACATATTTGTATTTTGTATTTTTGACACTATCTTTATGTTAAAAATGATGGTGATTCAGACATTTTGATCAAGACGATGACCTTCCTCAGTCCATGAAACAAAATAGTTTATTTAAGTTTTCTTTTTTCATTTTGATATGTTTTGAGCTGTTTGGTAACCTAAGAGATTACAAGTTGAATAGCTAACAACGTTGATGTACTGTATTGAGAACAGTCTTCTTAACAGTTACCTGCGCCATGTTGAAAGGTAGCTGTGCCTTAACAGCAAAGCGAGACAACCGTTGAGTGTGCAATGATAGATACCTGTGAATAATTGTCTKTAGGCATGAAAGATTAAGGTTTCTATCATTGCACGCTCAACAGTCGTCTTGCATCRATGCAATGGCACGGCTACATTTCAACATGGCACAGCTAACCGTGAAGGAGACTATTAGATGCTGGCTTAAATTGTAAAAATAATATCATTCTACTAAACTTACCGGTCAATTCTCATAAGACAAACAATTTTTAAAATATCTATACAATTTTCACTCTGAAATAGAGACAAAAAAATATTGATTAGCTTATCAGCAGTCTACTACGCTTGCTCAATTAGTGGATAACATAAAGGAGTGTGAGACAAGGCACTGCAGGGTAAAGAAGTTGTGCATTAGAGCGGATTTCGTATGAGTGGGAAATGGACAGTACTGTACTGTGACCGTAATCGTACTGTAACCAAATTCTAGTGCCCCATTGCCAGGTGCGGTAACTGTGCGGTAACCCTGCGGTAACGGTGTCCCACTCATACGAAATCCGCTCTAGCAAGAGAAGTAGAATGTTTCTGTGGGAAATGGAAATCAAGATGCCACCACCTTCCGTGAAGTCAACTGATGCTGATGATGATGGTATTTACTGCATTATGTTGACCCCAAAACGAGCTGTGACAGCACCTGTCATTCAGTCATACAAGCAGTTACCTGAATTTGTTTAATGCCTATACTAGTTGCAGTAAAACATCCTGTTCGACCAATACCAGCACTAGTGACAAATAACAAACAAAATTTAATTAAAGTGCATCTGGACCCTTTTAGAAAATCATTTTTTAACAAAAGGCAACTTAATGCTAATAATAGTTTTGAAGAAAAACAAGTTGTTTGAATTTTTTTTTCTGAGTTAAAGGCATTAGAAAATTGAAAAGTGACATCAAAGAAGGCTTCATTAGATATATGAGCAACTTTCTTTTTCTTCAAAACAATTATTATTACCATACTTGCCTTATGTTAAAAATGATTTTTTAAAAGAGTTCATAAATGCACTTTAATTATTAATGCTGCATAAGGGAAAGACATGACATTTTTTTTATAATATTGCCTTTTGACAATTCCTACTTTCCTTGAAATAGATCTCTGTAATACTACAAAAATACAAACATTAATCCATACAACTCACCTACAATGGACAACGGCAGGTCCACTTTTGCCACCTTCTCTCTCTTGTGCTAAGTGTACYTCATCTACTAATTGTAATAACTGTCTGGGGGAATCTGGAACTCCATGATCAGGCCAGGCAGTATACCAGTAATGATAAACACGACGAGGAGCTTCTAAAGACTGTGAAAAAATAAATAAAAATCAGTTCAGCTTGTGATTTGGTTTGATGTCAGCTTGATGCTTTGGCAAAACTGAGAAATTCAAGCTTCCATTGACCATATGAAAAATGAGCAGAAGGCTTGGAATGAGCACATTAAATGGTACACGTTTTTAAACATCTAGTTTAGCTGTAAGAATGAGTATATCTCAAATAGTGAATTTGAGGAGTTTTAGTTTCAAATGCCAAATATCAACAGAGTTACAAGGATTTGAATTTTTACTAAAAGCATGAAACCGAGGCTGGTAAGGCCTCAATACTGATTTTCACTCAAACCTTTCCAATTTCAAACACCTGTAATTTCTGGTCATTAAATGTTAGAGCATTGAAACTTTCAGATCTTATTCATTGTAATATGTTCTTTCAATGAACAAATTACTTAAACTAAGGCGCTATGATAGCCATGCCCTTTTTCATGTGGTCTATGATCTTACAATTTATATAACAAATGCTTAAAGTGCTTGCTGCAACTATACATGTACCTGTGAGTGACTAATATATAATGAAGTTATCTGGTAGCCATCTCTACCAAGTGCAGAGTCAAATGTTACCACTACATCTCCATATTTCTCTTGCATTCTGAAAGTAGGATCTGGCCAGTATCTCTCACATTTTGTCTGTAAGATTTCAACAATATTTTGTAAGAAAATACAAGTGCATTTTAAACACCTGTTGTCAATCATTTAGTTAAGAATTGAAAGGAAAGATGAAAGATGAAAGATGAAAGCTTTGATGCTTGTAAACTATGAAGAATACAAAGAAGATGTACTACTAAAATGAGACCACAAACAGTACCACAAACGTGACTAAAAAAAGCAAAACTTCAAAAACAACAAAAGATTGATAATTACTAAAAGAAAGTCTACAGCATGGACATAGGAACACAGGATTAAGAGGAAGGACAGAGGGACCGACTGGAGATCAGATCACAGAGTCTTGGACTGAGGCACACAAACAGGATTGGGATGTTATTTCAGAGGGACAATTTTTTTGGGGGGGGTTGTGTGGGGGGCAGGGGGTCTGCTTACCTCATTTCTTTCTTTTAATTTTGTAATCATGACAATGATTGGACAGTGATGATACCATATCATTCTCCAAAAATCGTTAATAGTACAAGATAACGGACCTAAAATATACATCCAAGAACTTTCATCATAAAGAGTATTTATCTGTGAAGCAGCTCAGTGAAATTTTTTGGATATAATAATAGCTTTACTTTGTTGTTATTACTTTTGTAGTCATCATATAACTTAAACTTAATAATATCAGGATCCGTGCAGANTGTCGTTGAGGAAGTTAAATCAAGTACAAGAGATGCTGTTGAGCCACGTCTGAGAGAAAAAAGAATGAAGTTTGACATAAATGTTTGTGAATGAATACAAGAGTAATAACAAATGATGTGTTTTGTTTTCATTTAGAGCCTCATCATTTACCCATTCACTATTCCTTAACAAATCAATTCACTTATTCAAGACATATACACTAACTATAACACAGTAGATACTATTTATTCAGTTGTCTCACCTATCTAACAAAGACATCTGAGAACCTTTCCATTTTCTTGGCTTCAGTGGTATTCCTGATATAGTATAAACTTGGCCACTTCCTGGYTGAATCATGCTGGCTGGCATGGTTTGTACTGGATGAATTGTTGGATAAACAAACTCAGAATCTGGMGTCTGTTTTGMTTTCTGTTCCTCTTCGTCTGCTTGCTCAACTCGTTTGCGACARATAAGCTGAAATGATKRCATTACAAATGATTATTGAAGAGAGTGAGTCAAGAGTTCAGTGGYCTTGCTGGACTGTTACCAACTTACCAGGCAAGCAATAGCAAATACAATCAACAACATGCTGATTCCAGCAACTACAGCCACAGGAAACCACATTTCCTGGTAAACTTGCAGGTTGATCTCTGGTGGGTTCTATAGAGAAAGAAATTGATTATCTAAATTTATAGTTTTATACTTCCTATAATAAGAACCTATTGGGCATGTAATTAATTTCATTGATAAACATTGATAAACAAATCGGTCCGTGTGAAATGATCATTCTATACATGTGAAGCGCCTGTGAACTTAGAGGAAATCAGCGCTATATATAAATACCACATATTATTATTATTATTATTATATTATTCACTGATTGAATGATTGACTGTCTGATTACCTGACTGACTGACCAACTGATTGATTGATTGGTTGATTGATTGATTGATTGATTGATTGATTGATTGACTGATAGAATGATTAATGGATAATCAAGTAGTTGATTGGCTGACTTATTTATTGATCAACTGATTGAGTGATCAAAAAACTACATGATTACATCACTGAGTAACTAATTCAATGAAATTACACTATATTGAGATTTACCTTCACCCCATAYGCTGTTATGTTAAATTTTTTGATAAATGGCTTCATCTGTGGGGAGTCCAGTGATTTCAACAGGGATGGAGCAGGTATATATGTGGTTTCCCTCTTGCCATTTTGACAGAAGACTTCAAGTTGGACTTTTGCTTTGCTTATCTATAAATAATAATCAAAATGATCATTTGGTCGTTTGAATTTTCGATATGCTTTCAGTCCATAGAAAAGCGATTTCGATTTGTTTTGTTTTTTTACCATAACAAAGCCGAAAACAAAGTAAAACTTTCAAAACAAAACAGTTTCTGGCATGTGCCAGCTCCGTGCGCGAGCGATTCATCATTTCATTGGTCTGTCCTAGGATTGACAACGGTTCTCGACCAATCAGCGCACGAGAATTCTACAAGTTATGGTAAAAAAGTTGTTAATAATGACAGTTGATCTATGACCCTTTGAAAATATTTAAAGAACAGAATAGTGCTAGAGTTTTCTCAGAGGATATACTCACAGGTGTATTGTGTAATATATTGCATTTTGAGCCAGGAAATGCATCATTATCCAAGCYTTTTGTCAGCAAACTGCTGAGTGATTTTTCTTTGAATGAATTGAATGACTTTGATGGAATGCCAACATTCTAAAAGAAAGACAACCATTACAATAATATTATAAGTATTGGTTAATAATTTGAAAGGGGATCTGTTGTAAAATGT